GGACTAAGTCTCTTGAATGGCGGGTAACAGCTCCGTGACAGAGAAAACACACACAGAACTAATAACAGCCAACCTTAAAATGTGTTTCTGGTTCCAAAAAAAGTACCTACAAAGTTGCCTTGGGTGTGAAATACGTAGAAAATGCCTCTGGCCTGTTACTTAGCTCAGAAGATAAGCCTCTCACAAGCTAAAAGAAAGGGACAGCTACTGATCTTCCTACAAAAAAGGAAACAAATCACAAACACATGCAGCTGTAAAGCGTGAACGAAAGCAAGCACAACTCCCCCAAACTTACCTCTTAGATTGGACAGTGTAACATATATTCCCTTTGTGAAACTTAGGTGCGTCCCACTGTAAAATGCTACGAAGATTAACTGAAGTAATTCTTACATTTTGGGGTTTTGGCACTATTCCAGATACTGCGGGAGCAATCAAAAACAAACAAACATTTTAGTATGTGTTCCTCCAGCAATTTCTCAGTCATCCAAAACTTAAATACAACCTTCTCTCTCTTCCTCGCCTCAGACACTTTTTTTAAAGCAGGCTCTAATATAACTAATTTAAATCCTGATGCTTATTGTTCCTTCTGAGCTTATGCAACAATACCAAATTAGCCAGCATCAATGACTTCCAGTAAGCACAGTCTTTATGATATCATCATTTATTATGCATGACCGACTTGTTACTGCCTAAGGCTTAGGGCCCATCAGGCTACGTGCATCAATTCCCACCGAGACTGTCAAAATCAAATTTTTCTAAGTAGTGCTCCAGTAGCACTATGGAAATGACATGGGGGTGTGGATTGATTTCTTGGGTTTTTTTCTTCCGAAGAGGAACACGAACAGCCCTTCTACATAGACCTGGGTATAAGACTGAAATAATGAAAAAAAAAAAAATAAAAATTTCCACCATAAGCGTGTTTATATCACTGCATGGATTAGCACTGCCATTTAAAGTGCTTTACTCAGTCTGTTATTAAGCCACCCTTTTGAAAAACAGAGATAAACAAGACGTACCTTGGAAGGCAAGAGAGCTATTAAATACGCCATACAAATAGACGTATCATTAACTGGCACTCTTTGCAAGTGACTAAAACGCAATTGGTTTGCTTTATTGAAACTGAATAAAGGAAACCCTAAAGTACTATTGATGAACAGTCCATTACTATTATGATTTAATTATTTTAAAATAATTGTTGGTATTGAAACTAAAATAGAAAAGATTTTGGCCCGTTATTGCAACATAAATGACCAGTGCAAACAAACCCTGTCAGATCAGTGCTCAAACGCCACAGGAGTAAAACCTAATGAGATATGTTGTAAGATAAATAACCTATTTCATATGCCTATATTTGATGTATAAATACATGAAATGAATGTGCCGGCTACCCACCTTTAGCAGACGAGTTTTAAATCTAAACCCTGCTTAAATAGAAACGATTTCACAAACTCAATTCCTACAACGTTACCCTCGCACCCAACAAATCAACTCAGCCGCACTTCACATCGTGAAGGCAGGGGTTGCTCGCTGCCCGGGCACCCAGACCTCCTCCTCGGGAGACGCCGTCCCTGGGCTCCTGTGGCCTCAGCGGTACCCGGGCACTCGCCGCAGAGGTCTCCGCGGGTCCGCACGCCGTGCGTCCACGTGCCGTGCATCCACACACCATGCCCCTTGGCAGGCCCCTCCGGCCTCCTTGCTCCCACGCTTTCTCCTACCTGCAAAACCCCCGGTACGCAGAACGCTAAGGAAGATGGGCGCAGGTAACAGACTGCAAAGACCCAGCGTGAACGACACAGCTGGAAAAAAGCCCTGGCTAGGACAAGGCCTCGCTACGAGGGACCCTCCGCTGCCCGCGCTTTGAGGAAGCTCCCTGCGCAGGGCTGGGGTAGGCTTGCAAATTCCCTGCACGAAGCACGATGCCTGTGCAGGCTCGCTTCCCCGACAGCGTTTTCTGCTTGAAAACCCTCCAGGGACAGGTTTTTATTCGGCACCGTGGACCCGAAGAGATGACAGAATGCTTCCGTCGTTCGGCCCTTTGCCAAGGAAAGGTCTGCGCGCAGCTCACGTCGCAGCCTCAGGCGCGGCCCCTCTTGGGAAAGGCGCGGCCCGGGCCAGTTTGGGCGCCCGTGTCGGGGGCTCCCCGGGGCACGGCGCCCCCGCAGCCGGCGGCG